TTTATATATATTTTTTGGCTGTCGTTAAATTGTCATTAATCACACCTAAAATGCTGTTGAAAAACCTAATCCAAGGGGAATAGAATCGTAAACATGTTGCCAATCCTTCGGCTGAATAAAGTAAGCCAGTGACAAGTTGAGAATCCATATCTTTGTCCTAAATAAATAAATAAATATACAGTGAAATGCAAAGCAACCATTTAGTCATTTACCAAAAAAGAAGAAAGAAATACAAAGCAACCAACATTCAGCCCAAGAATTTTCTGGGCTGGCCCAGTTGAAGAACCAAAAACTTGTCTGGTCCATTACACTTCTCTTAAACAGCCAACCGGCATAGGTTTATTTCATGGATATTAAGACGCCTAATAGAACAAATCCTTAGAAGGAAAAAGGCAAGATTAAGACGCCTGTAATAATATAAGACAAAAATGATAATGATAAAGCTTAACGCCAAACTAACCTGCTGCAATGGATCGAATACATATTCTTTACCTACAACATCTAAACACCATAACACAAGTCACACGTGAATTGGGAGATTTAAGATGAGTAGTTTTGCAAATTGAAGTAACCTTTTGAGCAACCTAACAGCATAATTTGAATCCAGCTTATGAGGGAACAGTACAACCACCAAAGATGAAGTTATTGTGGAAAATATGTATATATATATATATATAAATAGAGATTCATTTATACAAATTTTATATATTATATTTATATAAAACTCTCAATTATTTTTTTACTTTTAATTGTGGAGATTTATTTATATTTATTTAAAATAATTATTTTTTTTACTTAAAAAATATAAAAAATCTTAATTATTAAAAATAAAAAGATAAATGATCAAGATTTTATGTAAATGTAATGCGTAAATTAAGATTTTATGTAAGTGTGAATGAATTTCTCTTCTCTATCTATATATATATGAAAAAAAATTAAAATATCTTGATATTTTTTGTTTAATAATAACCATATGATGTATTTAATAAAGTTATAAAAAAACTTTAAGGCCAGCTAATGATATATGAATCCAATTCTCTATCCTACTAGATTAAACTTTTGGGTTTGAGGCTTAAGTCCAACACGTACGCATTGTGCGTTTCTTGTGAGCTACCATTGGCTTAGTTTTCCTACAAGAGCTAAGTGGAGGTTGCGCGGTGCGTGTGCGCTGTATGGCCTAACTAGGTAAAACAGTTTACATTAGATAAAATAGAGATCTCGTGGAGTGCAAAAACAACCAATATTTAGGCAAAAAATTTATGCTCGTCCCATGTGAGGAACCAAAAGGATTTTCCCATTCACTTCTCTTACCTCCTTACATATTCTTTACTAATAATGATTTACAATATCAAAATTTAAAATTAATAATATAGCATAAATTATGTTATTTAAAATATTAAAAAATAAATATTATATTATTTAATAATTTATTCATTTTACTGTTTTGAAATCCATAATATTATATGTCAACTCATTTAATGACAATTCCAAACTTTGATATCAAAATTTCACCCCTCTATCATTACTTATTTTTTACTCATCTCAAACTAGGTAAGCTTATCAATTTAAAAATAAACAAAAACAAAGTTTATAAAAGTTGACATTAAAATTTAAGAATATTTACTTTTTGAGTATTTCATAAACATATTTGTTAAACTTTGAATTTTATAGGATGAGATAATATATTTTGAATGTCATCATTTATTTTACTCATTAGTTTTGAAATGCATATGGTAAACAAATAAATAGTTACAAATATTCAATTAAGGTTTGAAAAAAAATGCTAATAAATCTTGCATGGGCCCAGAATCATGCTTAAGGTTTAGGGGTTTAACAAACGCCAACTTATTTTATTATTGTTTTATTACTTCTCAAAAAAAAAAAAAAACCATTTTTCTTTAATCATGCTAAGGCCTCAGGGGTGTAATACATTTGGTCAATATTTTTATTCTACAAAATAGAATTCTACTTAAAATGAAAAAAAAAAAAAGAACAAAACAAAACAAAACAAAACAAAATTATGCGAACTCTACTTATAAAATACACATGTTTAGTGGCAAGTCACATGCACTTTTTTCGTTAATTTGTCTAGTAATTTAATTTACCTTCCTAGGTTAATAATCCATCAAAATTTGGGAATGGTTTTTTACAACTAGTGTTTGATAATTGACAGAATTCAGAAAAGCAAAAAGGCAAGATTGAAAACGAAACGAGTAACAAGAGAAGCAAATATATTGTGCCTGTTACAATGATAAAGCCAAACTGAACTGCTGTAATGGAATAAATTGAACACCATAATTTGCGAATGGACAAAAAATATAGATATCAGTTTTAGGAAATGAGGTAACATTTTGGGTGCCAAACAACGTGGGAAGTAAGGAATTAATTAAGAAAACATCCTAATATGACTCTAACATATACAAGAGACTAAGAGAGGTACATTTTTATTAGACAAATGTAGACCGTAGAGAAGATTGAAGCATGAGCAGCGCTAGGGGCACTCGCTTCCTGCACTCTCCGGCGAACACTTCCACTTTCATTGGGCCACGTAAGCTTGCTTACGAGTTTTTGAAACGCAACCTCTTAAATTAAAATAACGTGGCCCAATAAAAATGGAAGTGTTGGTCGGAGAGTGCAGGAGGCGAGTGCCCCTAGCACTGCTCAGCAAGCATATACAATAGACCAACTCACTATCAAATTTCAGCAGAAAGGATCATGACATGAGCCACAATCTCCTTAATCTCAATTTTTAGAACCATTAGCATTGGGCTTTTCAGATTCGTGACCACTCTGTAATCATAAGTATCAATACCAAGTTATTTTAGGAAGTGCGGTAACACTTCGGAAGCAGCTCGATGTGCTGATGGGTGTGTACCGTAATGGTGACGTAAGGGAGCTGAATCGGAAGTACTAAGATGGCGGTGTGTGCCGCCTCTACTTGTTCGGCCTTTGTCCTCACGAGTTCTTCCAATTAACGGTATTCTCCTGATTGATTCCTTAATTTTTTTTTTCTTTTTATCTTTCCTTTATGTTTCGTTAATTGTTAAATGATTCATACCCATCTCTTTCCTTTTGAACCCTAGTTTATGCATTCGATTTGCTTATCTGTGTTTGGTTTCTGAGAAATTTGGTGTTTTAGAGGCAGGAGAAGTTTAGAAAGAGAGATTGATTGAGTTGGGGTGAGTGTGGGAGCAACACATCATCTGGTTTTTGTTATGCCCTAACTCCTAATTAAGAAGAGATGAATTGAAAGTTGTGTAATTTGTTTTATTGTGAAAAATGGGATTCTGAGATAGAGGGAGAGAGGAAAGTTGCTGAATTAGTGATAAGCTTGAATTACATGTTTCTATGAAGACTGCTACTGGAAGCATTTTGAAAATGGTTTTTAATGAAATATAAGGAACAAGAGAAAAGAAGTGGTAGTTGTGTATGAATAGCTGAGGTATGTTATTATTAGCTATTTTTGGGTTAGTTTGGTAACCTATTATCTGTAATTCCGTATAAATTAGAACAAGGGTCATGGATATAAGTTTTCTATTTTATCATGGGTATATTTGGAAGAGATATAAATTTAAAAGATGCTGTTTCTATTTACTTTCAATTGCTTATTCTGGTTACCTGTGAAGTGTCATAAAGAAAAGTGTGCTAGGCATTAAATTCTCTATTCATCACGGGTATGTAAGATAGAAGACAAATAAACTAGGTACTTTTGGTTGTGATCCATGTTTCTTTATAAATTTAATTAGTGTCTCATTTACAATCCTATTTTTTATTGTCAACTGTTATGACATGTATCGTTTTATGTGTTGAGGAAGGTATTTTGGTCAGTTTCTTAGGTAGACACTATATGCTCTTGTAGTATTCATAGGTATCATTGTTCTTATGTGGTAAACTCTTATATGTTTAACTTTAGCTTTTGGTCACATTTGAGTTGCAAATATTTGTTTATTGTTTTCTCTGCAAGTTATTGACATTGTTGGATTTCTGATTTCAAACTTGTTGTTTTGTCTTGTTTTCTTTTTAAGTTACTGAGACTTTAGGATTTCTGATTTCAATCTTGTGTTTTCTCTTGTTCAGAAAATGGATATGGGGCAATGTCCAAAGGTCCACTCTTTGCAGCTGAGGAGAGAGTATCCACATATTACTCACAATGCTGGATAGGTGCTTTTTTAGTAGTAGGTACTTTATGCTTGTTTTTCAAAAGTAATGTCTCTGCTGATGATATGCCTTCACTTTTGGTAGTTTCTGTATTTCTGCATCTGTGGTTGCTTAACCCTTCTTAGATATGAAGAAGCTAAGGCAAAAGGCATCGATAATTATGACAGAGAGTTGGAAGATGCTATTGACAGGCTCATTGTTGAGTGTGATAGGAAAATTGGTAGAGCTCTCAAGTGTCTTGAAGATGAGGATGCAAAGGCCGCTATTGCTATATCAGTCTCTAAAGTTACTCAGGTTTTGGATAAGTCTTAATTTTATCTGTCTGACCTTTCTCCCACTCGGGACTTACAGATTATTTATTTTCTATGTTGATGTTACAGATACCAGAAGTACTAGAGCTTTCAAAGCAGATTAAGGAGAAATTGAAAGAAGCTGATCAATATGGTATCGTATTTTTGCACTAGCTCCTCTTATATTTTTTTAGGGCTGTCTCTAAGTAATCACCTAAGATTTTTTCTTTTGAGAATATTTTTATTTATTCATCCTTTTTTTTTTTTTTTTGAAAGTTAAGGTAACATTGGAAGCAACTGGCTTTGTATGTTATTAGTTAAGTTTTTATGATTTGATTTTTGTTGAAATCTATCTACTTTTGATGTTGAGTTTGAGATTTTATTTCACTTTTATGCTTGAATTCCTTGTTTTCAAATTGCCTTTTGAAGGTTATGTATAAAAGGAGGGGGTGGGGGTTGGGCGGGCTGCTGGTATTTTCTATTGAGGTTTATACGTACAAGGTGTGACTCTTGAATTGGAAGAAGGATGCGTTTTCTGCCTTGCCAATTGATGATCAGTACTTGATTTGTTTTCTTGGATTTAACTTGGTTATTCTTCTTTGAATTAATTGATTCAGGGTGATGTCCAAATTTATAACAATCGTTGTGAAGTCTTTGTTTGTAGGTTCAATAGATTTCATAAATTTTAAGCTTTTGATTATATGGTACAGGGGGATGACCATAGTTGGAGTTTGACTGCTTTCCCCATTATTTCAACTCTAAGGTGTTTAATTTGTTGTAAGAAAGAATAGTTAAATGATTCAATCAGTATTTTTAGAGTGAAGAGACTGCCTCAGTATATCCATTTGTCTGGTTGATATGTTTGGATGGTTAAGATTAAATCAATATGGTTGAATTCAGCCAAAGGCTATGTCTCCTCACATATTCTGGAGGACCTGGGCAATGGTACCAAAGAATGGTCAACTGTTCACATCATTTGGTGTGCCTTTAAATGGCAGATTAGCATGACAAAGTAATGATGTGTCACATTCTCACTTTTGTTGCGGCCTTTGTAAATGAGTTTTTGAGAATTCTTGAGAAATTTCTCTTGTTAGGGAGTTTAACATTTGATTGGTTTGGGAGTTTGATATATGATTGGTTTTAGTGATTATATCAAATCCATAATATTACATTGCTTGACTTGATGACTTCCCAGTAAGCCATATTGTGTTTGATTTTTGAAGTCTTTTTGCAAGTTTTTTGTTTAAAGTGCTAAATTCTGTACATAAAACAATTATGTTGCATAATATTTTCTTTGTCATTTGTCTTAATATTTATTGTGGATAAATTGTGTAAATTTTATGATTAGCTTTGGGGTGTACATGATACCTTTTTGATTTGCAGATCTTGAAGGCGAGACAGATCTTAAAATACGAGCTCTAGAAGAAGTAGAAGAGCTTAGAACTAAAAGAGTGGATAAACAGATACTTGATAGCTTCTTTAGATGTAGGATTTGAAATTGGTCTCTGGAAGTATTGATTTATTCATATCAGAATTTCTGATATTGACTGTGTATTAAGTTCCTCATAATTTGATTCTTGTATAACATTTAGTCTCTTGGTATATATGATGCTTCTGTTTATTGTTATAGTCAACACTGCTTTTGGATGCATTCAAAAAAGATCAGGCATCTTTGCTCCAACCATTGCTAAACCCTCCATCTTTGGCACCACTATTTGTGCCTGCACTTGATCCTTGGACCCAGGAAATGATAAATGAGAAGCTGAAGAAAGCTGAGGATCTTGGTAAGACTCAGGTTACCTGAACTCCGTTTTTTATGTATGTAAAGCAAGGAGAAAAACATCTCGAGTTCTTGACGATAGATATCTATTCAGTAGCATGTGTTAAATAAAATAAACATCTTGAGTTCTTGACGGTAGATATCTATTAGGTAGCATGTCTTAAATAATTAAATTCCTAGAAATGGAATAGCAGTTATCCTTAAGTTGTTTCTGAGGTATTTATTTTGCCAATTTATGTTCCTTCCTGTTTGTGTTTTTACCTTTTTCCCTATAAAAAAAATGTCAATGTCAGAAAATTTGTTTCCCTTGCCATTCCAAAACAATTGTCAATGGTTGATAAAGACTCAGTGCCTTACTGTTTTTCCAATTAACACTCAGTGCTTTACATTAACAATGCCTTTAGGGTGGTTTCATTTAAAATATACAGAAAGGCATAGAACTGTGTTGTACAAAGTTTTCAAGAATACATGATGTACTTATCAATGTTTTATTAATAGTCTCTCTTGCTCTCTTATTGTTGTTTAGGTGAGAAGGGGATGGTAGATGAGGCACAAAAAGCATTAGAAGAGGCTGAAGCACTCAAGAAGGTTTCAATTTGTGAATTTAGTAGTGTTATTTCTATAGATTGATTTTTATTAACTTGCACCATTTCCTTCTCCTAGGTATGCCTTATTTATGGATAATTGTTTTGCCATATATGTTCAGCTCTCTGCCAGACTGGATTCCTCAAAGTATATTGCTGCTGATGTTCACATTGTGAGTTCGGTTTTTCTTTCTTTCAGTTTCATAGAAGGAAAACTATGGTAAAAACTAGATAAGAAAACTTAGACACACTTGGACCTTATTGGGAAAATTTGAATTTGATTTGCATAATTAATGCATGAGCAGTCCCGTCATAATTTGATTTTAGTTTAATTTTCTTTTAGTTCATTTATATGTTAATATTCTATATGCTCTAATCTTTTTAATCCAAGTTTGTTTCAGACTGATCAAAAGCTACATGTTTGTGATATTTGTGGAGCATTTTTGAGTGATTATGACAGATACATTTTTTATCTTCTACTTCTTGATCATAGCCTTTTATCTTCTTTCTAAGGGCTTCAAAAAGTTAGTGTTTGGGGTTTCAAGTGCTTTAGCTTTTGATTTGGCTATTATACCTCCTTGTCACCAGCAGGCTTTTGGGCCCAGTTTTATGAGGATTAACTTTTGCAGCTACATAATGTGCGTCTTTTTCTGTTTTTGTACTTGTAGATCATGCAAGTGTTAGATAATAAATATTTGGGAAACTGTATAATCTATAATGCATACTACTGCAATATATATATATATATATTTTTTTTTTTTCCTTTTTTAAGCTTCTATGTCAAAGTGATTTGATTTTTGTTGTTCCTTTCAGTGACCGACGTTTGGCAGATCATTTTGGAGGCAAACTTCATTTAGGCTATATGCAAATCCGTGATAAATTAGCAGAACTTCAGGTAAGATAATTTACATGCTTAGTATATGCTGACTGTCTATGGTGGCTCTGCTTTAAGTGTTGCATTAGGCTAGGGATAGTGCCTGGCATCCAAGCTGTTGGTTGTGTAAATTGCCTGAACCATCCACTTACTATGTCTATTATTATTATTTTTTTAAATAATCAGAACTTTATTTGGATGACGTTACCTAGTGGATTCTAGTAAAACAGCAAATTAATACATCTTTTCCAGATACCCTTAAGTTTGTATTGTGAATATGTTGGTCAGGTGCTGGTATAATGTTTCTCATTCTTCTATACAGATTCTCAGTTAGTATCATCTGTGAGTTTTTTTGAGCTCAGAGAAGAACAATATCTCCCATTTTTCAATTTCTTTTGATTGTTTGTAGATGCTGGACTTTAAAACATGGTATTTTCTAACTTACCTGTGCATATTGGGCTTAAAATGTATCAAATATGAAATGTCTTGGTGCTCAACCAATTTTGATAGATTAGTTTTTTTCGCTGAAAGAATGAAAGAAGAAGGAAACATGAAATCAAACAGGAGAGAAGTACAAGAAACGAGTTTGTTGTAAGTAATGTAAGAAAAAAAATGAGCTTTTCATATGTTTAAAATCTGTGACATTAATTCTGATGAAGGCCTGGTTTGGTCATTGTAAGTTGCCTACTAATTATGCCTACCACCATTATTCTTTCCTAATGGTCCTTATGGCATGTTATATTTGGCTAAATTGAGGTGGCATTTAGATTTTTGAAAGAAGCGTTTAGTAGTATTTGGTGATTATTCTTTTCTCAGGAAGAGAGAAACAAGAGCCGCAAACTTGACCAGTATGATGACAGGAGGTAATCCTCACGTGGTTTCTTTTCCTTTTTTCCTTTTGGTAAACCATTGGGTGGTGAGGGGGGTGTTGTGATATCCTTTTTATTGGTGGTGTATAGATTGAAAGAAAGAAGCAGAGATCATGAGAGAGAATCAAATTGGGACCGAGACACGGAGGGATTATAATCAAAGGAGCAGAGATCGTGATAGGGATTATGAGCGCTTTTTGACTTACGATTCCAGAAGTCGCCATAGGTCATGTTCAAGGTCTAGGGAATGCTCCAGGGATCATGATCGCCACAGGTACTTGTTTAACAATATCCCATGCTTGTTTAACAATATATTATTAGTTTTGTTTTGTGATCAATTTTTAACTTATTAAATGTGTGATATAATATAATATTTGTTTTCTATTATTGTAAAATGTGCCAACCTGAGTCTTTTACCATTCTTTTCAAATTTAATGCTGAACTCTAGCTAGTATTTGAGTCCAAGAAGTTGAATATAAGATAAAAGCTAGGGACAGTCGCATCAAATATATATGAGGATGTGAGCTACAATCCTCTATAATTCTGGCACCAAAGAAACTCTTTCTCACCTGAAGCTACATGCTTCTTTTCTTTCTTTCTTTTTTTCATGAGGATAAGAATCTTACGCAGCATTTTTGAGTGCTATCATCTGTTTCTAGTATATTTCCCTTATTATTGGAATACGGTATAAAGAAATGGTTGTAAATCTTGAGTAGACCCAGAACCAACCATGCTTAAGGCATGGGCGTGTAGCAAACACCTGTACTGTAGATTTTAATGATGTTTTTCTTCACATAAAAAACCCCCTTTTTTTTTAATCTCATCTAAATTCTAAAATATCTTGACTACTGTTTGATTATGATGAGGTGGTGAAGGGATGGCATTCCTTTAGTACCTTATTATATTATGACTTGTTAGTTATTGCCTAGATTTGACTCACGATCTTGACCTCAAAATCAAGTGATAGATATTTGCCTTCCTTATTTTTCTTAGCCTTTTGTTCTGTGCCTGAAGCTTTTAAAGTTTCCTGTGCTGATAAGGTTATTCTTGAACTTTGCTCATCGTTTTTATTCAGGCGTGACCGATACTAGATGCATGAATGCTGCCAAGAAGAAAATGAATACGAAACTGTTCTTGCTTAGGGAAGCCAACTTATATAGGGGAGTAGTATTCCTCAGTTTAGTAATTTGACAGTTTGTCATGTGGTTGTATCAACATGTTTAAGAGGGTATTTGTTGTTTTTTGGTACTTAGAGACTAGGGCTTAACCCCTACACTTGTGACCAAGAGCATAAGTGACTACTACCAGAACGTATGGTTGATGGTTAAGAGGGTATTTGTTACTTGGTGATTTGTGTTTGGTACTCGGTATCATTGGAGATGTAAGTTTGCTTGATTTTACTATTCCAATTTCCATGTTGGTAATTTTTCAGTCAAGTATCTAAAAGGAGAAATTAATATAATGAGCTTGAATTTTATTTTCTGCTTTGACGGCTTGATATTAAGTTGGCAAGAAATTTGAGGATGCTGGAAACATGACACAATTATTTCTTAGATTCAGTCTCATCTAATGGTAATCATGTATGATTACCATGAAGAATTATGTATGAAAAGAAAAATTTTTCTAACTCTCAATCATTTTGTGTGTAAAAACCATTAGATCAAATTACATTCGAAAGTTAAATGGCAAACTGCTGGGAGTGTAAGCTCATCCATTGATACCAAACATCACTTAAAGAATTATCTATGAGGAAAGGAGTGTGCTCTAAGTATGCGAATTGAACATCTCCAATGTGCAAAGTGGCTCAATCTGTCCCATCTTGTGTGGCCTATTATCACACACAAAGTAAAAAAATGTGAATCTCTTAGGGATCTATGTTATCACAAAAGAAAAATGAAAAACCTATGAGGCACGAAAACTTATAGTGCACGTGAAAGCTAAAATTTATATCTATTTCTGAATACTCTCTTTATCTTTAAAGCACTATAAGCAACAGACAAATTAATTTTGGGTATCAAGCAATGTGCAAATTTTGCAAAGTTCATATCCAACATATGACTTATGAGTGCACCATTCTTTAATCATACAAGCGTATATAAGAAAGCAACATTTGTTTTCTTGAAAGATATCTCTCTTTAATACACTATAAAACAACACACGAATTTAAAGGATTTGCATGAATTTAATAATACATAATACAAATTGCACATGAGTTCACAAAATAGAAAAGACCTATCTCCTTTTTTTTTTTTCTTTTTTCTTTTTTCTTTTTCTTTTTTTAAGAAAAAGGGATCAATTTTAGTTAGCGAGGTCACATTTTGGGCACCAAGGAATGTGACAACTTTTCACATCCAACTTATGCGCACACCATTCAAACCTGCAAGGAACTAAGCAAGCAGCCTCAATATACCTCCATGCATGTCTACAAGAGATGTACCTTTATCAAACAAGTGTAGAGATAATGGAAGCATAATACCAACTCACCATCAAATTTCACTTGGACAGGACACGAGCCGCAATTTCTTTGATCTCAATTTTCAAAATCACCTTGACTCTGTAGACATAACAACACAATATTGAAGGTAAAAGGAAATCGAAATCATGACCTATTAAGCGTTCATACATACCTTCTAGTTTTTCTTGTTATTTTGAAGACTCTAAATGAAGATTTGTGTAATAAGCAAAAGAGAAACATATAGAAATTAAAAGAAGAAAAACCTAAGGAGATCTTTTGAATTAATGCATACCTTTTGCATGAATTGTAGTTGTATGGTTGAGTTTAGGTTGCCATCCCGGAAGTCTTCATCTTCATCTCCAGTTAATTTTACTTTCTGCAGTTTTGGCATTCTTATTTCATCCATAGAGAAAATTTGCATACTTGGACAATCCATCAAAATCACCTCTTCCAACAATGGGAACTCAAACTTGCATTCAAGCGAGCAAAAGCTTGAAAGTCTAGGCAGACCACAAAGTTGCAAATACTTGAGTTTGCTAAAGACAATCTCATCCTTCACATCATCCTCCAAGCATGTGACGGTTTCCAACAAAGGTAGTAGAGTGGCCTTTTGAGCTTGTGATTGGCTAACACCAGGTTCATAAGACTCAAGTATCTCTTCAAGTGAATCACAGTTCCATATTTGGAGCTTGTCTAGTCTTTGAAGCCTTTCCAACATACTAAATTGGAAAATATTCAATAAGTTTTCACATGAAACCACACTCACCAAAGTCAGTTGGCAGAAAGAATCTACTTCAAGCTGGTTGTTCCATATCTTATTCAAGCTCTTCACATGTTCAATTACCAAACGCTCTAATTTGGGGAATGCTACCTAAAAATTTACACAATTCAATTAAAATTAAACATAATTATAGAGGTAAGGGAATGAAAATATTGGAATCTAATTTTTTTCAAATGTAAAACTTTAAGAAAATAATAATAGCATTATAAGATATTAAAAAGCAAAAAATAAAGGAGAAATCACCTTTGCATCAAAAAGAGAAAGTGTATAAGCGTTTTTAACATTTTCAGAACTAGCAATCATGTCTCCAAAAAAGAAGCTAGAGATGAAAGTCTTCAACACAGGGCACTTGCTTATCTTAAGTTTCCAAAGGCATGGTAATTCCAAGTAATTTCCAGAACAAAATCTTGTGAGTTTTGGAAGGTCTTGG